ACGTGTGGGTGTTGAAAATGAGTGTCATTGTATCTTTTCTCTTTTAATGGTGACATTTAGGGTGGGTAAATGAATTTTTTTTTTCCATCATGGTCAAGTGAGGTTTTTAGTTGGTTCTAAGTTGAAATCTGAAATAAATAGGGTAGTCGAACTGACTCCTAATGAAACATATGTGTGTCATGAATTTGTCGAATCTTTATTCCATTATTGAGAAGATTGTTTCAGACTATATAATGACCTATTCGACTTGCACAATCTTCATTTCACTATCGAGGAGATTGTTTCAGGCCATATAATGACCTATTCAACTTACACACATAATCTTCATTTCCTCTTTCTGCATACCCCTTAGGTTGCCTCATTAAGGTTGTTTCATCTAGATCACCATACACGAAGGTTATCTTTACATCTATTTGTTCAAGTTCTAGGTCGAACTTTGTCACCATGGCTAACAACATTCTAATGGATATATGATTTACAACGGGTGAGAACACATAATTAAAGTCGACTCCTTCTTTCTGAGTGAACGAACCCCTAACAACCAATTTTGCCTTAAATATCTTCGACACCACTCCTTTGATTCCTTCCTTAACCTTGAAAATACACCTACATCTGACTAACTTGGCTCCATCAAGTTTCTCAATCAGTTCCAAAGTGTGGTTATCATGAAGAGATTTCATCTTATTATCCATGATTTTCAGCCTTCGGTCTTGTTTCAACTCTTCATAGCTTTCTTGTAGTATCTAGGTTTTTCATCAAGAACCCCACTTGCAGATATTAAGGCAAAAGCTATGAGATTTGCATAACCGAGTCTCTGGGGTGGCTTGATGACTCTTCTCGACCTGCCTCTTGCTAGTAGGTAGTCATTATTAGTCTCCTTATCCACATCAGAAACTTGTGTTTCTTCTTTGACTTCATTAGGCTATGCAATTCTGCATCAATATGCTCCACCTTAACAAGAATATCTTCCTATTTCAGCTACTCTATAGAGATCTTCGTACTTCGACCAACATCATCAGTTTTCTTGAAATCCATCTTAGCTTCACTAAAAACTACATCTTGACTTGTGATTCACCTCCTATGACATGGCTCTAGGAACCACAACCTATATAAGCTTTGACTTCTTCAAGGTTCCATGAAACATACATCTCAGAGCTCTATGTTCGACCTTGTCTTGCCTAATGTGAGCATAGGCTAAACAAACCAATACTCAAAGTCTGTCGAGATTAGGTTGATGTCCTAATCAGACTTCTCAAGTGTCTTTATCCCTAAGGCAATTGAGGGACACCTATTTATCAGGTATACTGCAATCACACCAGCCTCAGCCCAAGACACCTTCTTCAATCCAAAACTAACCAACACGCATCTAACCCTTTCTAGGATTGTTCAATTCAATCTCTCAGCCATGCCATTTTTATGAGGAGTACCCGCAGTAGTCTTGTACCTTGCAGTATCAGACATACTACAGTAACTGTTGAAAAGCTTCATTGAAGAATTTAAGGTCATTATCGGTTTTCAATCTCTAAACCATCATGTCAGTCTGGTTTTCAACCCGAGTCTTTCAATTTTTGAAAATTTCAAAAGTTTCATCCTTAATCTTCTGGATGAATACTTATAACTTTTTGGAATAATCATCAACTATGAATAGAAATTACTTTGCGACTAAGTGTGAAGGAATTCTTGCAGATCCCCAAAGATCAACAGAAATGTAACTAAGGGATCAACATGTTCTTTATTTGCCTTTGTTAAACTTCACTCTATAGGATTTACCAAGCACACAAGGTTCACAGAATTCCAACTTTTCGACTTTGTCACCACTTAGCAGATTTTATTTTCCCAGTTTGACAAGTCCCTTTTTATTGACATGGCTCAATCTCATGTGTCACAGTTCTGTCTTCGACATAGGTTTCGTGGAGGAAACATATGCCGATCCACTTACAACCTTAGCCTTAAAGTTATACAAGTCTTGTTTCTTCACACCTCTCAAGACTTCGTTCGACCCCTTCATGACTCTCAGGATACATTGCTCTCCTTTGAACACATATCCTTTCTTATCAAATTCACCAATAGAAATCAAATTTCTCTTAACATCAGGTACATACCTGACACTAGTCAATAACTTTATTAACTCATTATAAAGCTTGAATCTCACATATCAAATACCTACAATTTTTCAAGCTTTGTTGTTTCACAGTAGCACTGATCCATCATCTTGATCACATGATTCCTCACACACATCTTCGTTTTGATTCATGTGCCAAGTGGAACCTAAATCCATGATTCATTCCTTACATGAATTGCTGCTTGAAACTACTAGAACATTAGACGATTCAAAATCATCTTGAATAATGGTTGCATTCCCATTGTTCTTACCATCATGATCTTTTAGGCGTTAAGGACACACCTTTCTTATATGACCCATTTTCTTATAATGGTAACACAATGAAGCACGGATACGATACGGGTATCAGATACGATACGTATCCGATACAGAGATACGTTAGTCATTGAAAAATTTAGGATATGATATGTTTAAAATATGTATATAAAGAAATTAAAATTAAAGATTAGTTAAATAATTCTCTAAAAAAATCAATTGAGTTTGCAAAATCTGATAATAATTAATTAAGGAATTATGAGAAAAAGAAAAAATTATTAAAGTTAAGAGATAAGTAATTAAAGGAAAAGTTTGATTTTTGTAATAGAAAAAATGAAAGTGATAAGGTAATTAAAGTTGAAGTATCGACGGTGTATCAACGTATCTGATATGTATCGGATACAATACATCATATATTTTAGAGTATCAGTGCTTCATTGGGTAACACCTAATTTCAGGAGAATCACCACCATAAGACTTTTGCTCACCTTTACCTTTCTTCTTCTCAAACATGTCGTCTTTCTTCAAGAATTTCCCTTTAACGGACAAACCTTCACCAACAGACGATGACTTGTGCTCCTTTTATTTGTTCAAATCCTTAGAGTACAAGGCTGATTGAACTTCTTCAAAGGTTATGGAATCTCTTCTATACAAGAGAGATTCTTTGAAATGAGCATGAAACTTAGGTAAAGAACACATCAATAACAGTGCTTGATCTTCATCATCGATATTAACCTCAATATTATCCAGATCAAAAATTACGAAAGAGAGAGAAAATGAAAAAACAAGAACAAGAATTGATTAAAATCGTTTTTCTATTCACTTTTTCAATTATGGCAAATGGTTACAAGGGAATAACATCAACGCTTAACCTCTCTCAATAATCTGAGAGAGCAACTTATTTATAAACTATAAACTAACTTAAACACTAAACTAACTTAAGCACTAAGCTAACTTAAGTAATAAATTAACTTATACAACTGCATACTTGAAAAGACTTTCACTACAACATAAACAACTTCTATCGAAACATACAACTATTTATATTAAAATTAGAATTCGATCCAAAATACTAAAAAAAAAAAAAAAAAAAAAAAACTTGAATCATATGTTAAGTATACCCAATTTACATAATTTTAATAATTAATTATTGTGTTGCTAGGTTAAAAATTAGAATAATTTTGGTGGATACGAATTTAAAATGTAATTGTTTAACGACTATTTACTACATTTGCTAAATTATAAAGCATCTTTTATAATTGTAAAAGAGCTTTGACAAAATGACAATGACTGTGAATATCTCTCATGTTCATTGTAAAAAACATCTCTCTCCATTTTTGTTGTTGTTGTTGTGAGTGGACAAAAAAACCCCTTAAACCCACCATAGTTGCCACAATAGAAAACTTGGACAAACCCACCATAGTTGCCACAATAGAAAACTTGGTGTCCAAACCAGAAGAATCCAAATCCACACAAAATCACAGTTGATGACAAAAAAAAAGTCACAACGTTGCATTTCGTGCATCACATTCCAATAAAAAATTTAAAATGGCCCTTTTTCTTCTCTTTGACTTAGCTCAGAGGTATCATGATTCATGAGGAACAATAGCAATTTAATTTGAGATGGACCCACCAATACCATAGATCTTGGAGATGATTATTTTGTATCCCACGATCTATTAATATACAATATAATATATTATCCTGTTGCAAATAACCATCCATTAAAGTTGAAAAATCAATAGGATTGGATCTACATTCTTGCATGTACACAATGTTACTATTAGATTATAAAAATAATAGTAATTTGACAAATAATGAATTCCATTTTTAATATGCATGAGCATTCTTTTTTATATCTTAATAATAAAAATTAGAATAATTATAACTATAGTTTATCATAGAAATCATCCATAAGTCAAATGTTTGTTATTAAGAAATTAGTTAAAATTGATAAATTTTCGTCAGCATAAAAATGAAAACTGTTGCAATACACAAAATATAATTTTTCACACTTTAAATTTGTTATATTTTTCTTCGAAAAATGAGACATTGAACCATATAATTAATAAACAAAACATATGATTATCACTAATTAAATAACTAATAATTTATCATAGATATCACACGAGACAAATATTTACACTAAATTAATATGTTTTTTTAGTAACATCAACTAAAATGTGAGAACAAATATAATACACTAATCAATAAATTCTCACACGTTGGAAATAAAAGCTACTAAAAAAAACTATTAGATAATATAATTCATACACGAGAGAATTATTTGACACTGATTAATTATCAAAATTAGCAGCAATGTTTCCATTTTGTATATATTTGCACAAGTATAGATGTGATTCTTAATGCTAATTAATTACCGTAATCTCTTGATTGTTTGAAATTATTTTACATTTAAAATTTATAATATTTTCATTTTTTAAATTATAAATTTTTTGTAAAACATGATAGAATTTTATAAATAAAAATATCAATTAAAACACAAATATATAATTGATTTTCTATAAAAAATATGTGAGAGGGGAAAGAAAACTATTTAAACTTAAAATAAGAGGATTAATTTTGAAAATAATAATGACTATATGCACTGTACTATCACACATCACTGAGCCTCAGTTCCATGGTATTGAAGCATTTCCACCACTCTACTCATAGTAGGTCTTGAATCTCTTTCATCCACAACACAATCCAAAGCAACTTTAGCCATTATCTCCATCTTCCTTTTATCATAATTCAATCCAATTTCATCATCAACTATTTCCTCCACCCAACTAACACTACTCCCTTTTTTCTCTCTCACCCATGTAACCAACCTCCCAACACTCTCCTTTTCACCATTCACTACTTTGAAACCTGTTGTTGGACTCTTTCCTGTTATCATCTCCAACACAACTATTCCATAGCTATAAACATCTACTTTTGATGTTATTGGCAAGTTGAAAATCCATTCCGGTGCCATATAACCTCTTGTTCCTCGAATAGTAGTTACACTTAAGTTGTTGAGATTGCTTCTATTTTGTAGCTTAGACAATCCAAAATCTGCTAACTTGGGCTGGAAGTTAGAATCAAGAAGTATGTTTTGTGGCTTTATATCACAATGCAGAATCCACTCCAAACATTCTTCATGAAGATACGCTAAAACTCTTGCTATTGCTAAAGCAATTTTGTACCTTTTACTCCAATCAAGTTTGTTAGATGATAGATTTTCGGCTAAAGAACCATTTTCCATGTACTCATATACCAATAGTCTATATTTTCCCTCGGCGCAATATCCCCACATTTCGATCAAATTCATGTGATTGAGTCTTCCAATGATGCCTACTTCTGCGAGAAACTCACTTTCTCCTTGTTGAGCATTGTAAAGTCTCTTTATCGCAGCGTGTCTTTGATCAGATAATACACCTTTGTATACAACGCCTCCCCCGCCTCTTCCTATCTCTTGACTGAACCCTTTTGTTGCTTTCTTGAGCTCCAAGTAACTGAACTTTCTAAACCCTATTTCGGCAAGGTGGTAGCCGTGTTGGTCTGCATTAGTCTTTTGGCGCGACCTTAATAGGGAACACCAAACGGCAAAAATGCAGACCGTTTCAAAAGCTCCAATCGCAGTGACGAACCAGAGAAAAAACTTCACGTATTGGTTTTGGCTTTCTTTGACATAAACTCTTTGAAGTGTTTCCAAGCAAACATGATTACTCGGAAAAGAAGATTCCTTTCTCAAGAAGCTATTACCTTTAGGTAATCGCAAGTAGGTTGATCCTTCAAAGGAAGGTATAAACCTTCCATTTTGCAGTTGTGTTTTTGAAAAACACCTATAAAAGCCCTTTTTCTCCCAAAATGAATATTGAAATGCTATACAATTACAATCTTGTATGCATAAATCCTCACAGGTACTGTAGTTACAAATTTCAATATAATGAAAGCCATAACCATAAAACTCAACATTCTTCATCTCTAAAAAGGTTGATTCACTTTTATTGCAAGTGAAATCAAACATAGGTTCACAACCATAAGACCAATCATTATGATTCTTCATCTTATACCCTGGAATACAAGAGCACTTTCTTCCAAACTTAGGACTATAACTACATGTACTATTAGCTCCACAAATTCCATGAACCAAGCAAGCACCAGAAAAGGCTTGCCATGAAACATACCAATTCTGTGACATACTATTTCTGCTATAAACTCTTACAATACCATCAGAATCAAGTTTCATTATTCTTTGCAAGACAGATCCATAATCAGAAGTTGAAAAAGTGAAATTATCTGATGAATGGAAATTACCAAGAGAGTCCAACACTGCAGTTCTGCTACTGTTGAAATTTGATCTTCCAACATCCCAACTTAGAAGCCAAGGTCTTGGCCAATACGAGCTAGAAACATTGCGGCCGTTGTAATGAAGACCGAAAATATTTTCATCGTCGAAAAACGACATGTAGAAGCCAGATGAATGATTAGTCTCACTTATTGAAGCTACAAGCTTTGTATATCTTGTAAGAGGTTGACCAGGAAGGAGAGTATCTGTTGGAGAATCAAAACTCTGCCAGAGACTTTTGGTTCCTTGAAGCTCACGCAACACAAGATTTCCATCATTTTTGAGATGTAACTCTAATGGTTTCAATGATGCAGTGTTTGAAGACCAAAAATTGTTTAGAGAAACATCAAGCAAAACAATGTTTCCTGTGTTTAAAAGGATGAGTTTGGATCTTTTTCCATTAACCGGTTGGTCGCGATTCGCCGTCCAAATGATTGTGTTGTTGAGTTTGAGGGAATTTGGTTGTGTGAACCATATGGCAAAGAAATATGCATTATCACCAATGGAAGTAAAACCAGCAGTGAACATACCATTTGGTGAGATGATTTTGTCTTCTGGTTTTTCTACTGAGAGGGATGAACCTTTTCTCAAGGATGATGAAGATTGGAAAGAAAAGAGCAATAGTAGAAGAAATAGTGTGAATGAGAAATCCATATTTTTCATGGAGGCAATGCAAGCTCTTAACTTGCATTTTTTTTCCTTCTATTTATGTACTACTAGCAAGAATAGGAAAAATAAATTTGTCAAATTTTCTTCTTCTATTACATCATAAATTAATAAGAATTATTATTTTATAATGTATTTTTTTTCTCTACAATTATTGATTTTATTTTTCAACCCCAATTTAATATGGGTTTCAGCAATAATACACTTCAATACATCAATATCATTGAAAATGTCAACCAAACAACTTATATTTTGGAATTTTTTATAATAATCATATATTAAATAATAAATACCAAAATAATAAGTATCTCAAAAAAAATTTCAAAATAGCTAACAATCTATCAGACGTTCGCCATTTGAGTTGGCGAAAGAGAAGAAAATGAAAACTGGAAAAAGCAAATCGCCATGGCAATTGGCGAATGCTTGCATGAAAAAAATAATTATTTAAAACATTAAATGAAATGAAAAAAATAATGAAAACGATGGAAATTCTAACTTGGTCTCATTCGCCAATTTAAATGGCGATTTACTTTTTCCAGTTTTTATTTTCTTCTCTTTCGCTAACTCAAATGGCGAATGCTTGATGAATTGTTAGCCATTTTAAAAAATTTTTTTAAGATACTTGTTATTTTGGTATTTATTATTTAATATATGGTTATTATAAAAAAAAATTTATATTTTGACCATAAAATTTGAAACAACTAATAAAAATCCTAACCGATATTATTAGGTTCAATGCGGTCAATAGAAAATCTTAAACATCATATTTGCATGTGAGATTTTAATAATTATTATGACCTTGTCTTAAGATAAAATAAAAACAATTATATTCACATGTAAATTTTTTTATTTGTTGTGTTAAGTCTTGAAAATTAGGAGTTACAATTAGATCAATTATTCATTCAATTCCTTAAAAAAAAATCATTTAATTCATCTTTCACATTTAAAGTAATAATTCAATTCATTCAACGTATTTTAATGATTTAATGAATTATTTCTACTTCCGTTTGATATTTAAAAAAATTTATTTCACAATATTTATAGTCTAAATAATTAAACAAAATATAACTAAATTGTCTATGTAGAGACATATGATATGATAATGTAAATGTCATTTTGAGTTGTCGTAAAAGCATTGTTACTTTCACTCACTTTAAATCCTTTCACGATAAAAATAAAAGTATCAAATTTTTCATGCTACTGTTAAGGAGATTGTTTAAGACATAAGTAGATTTATCTAATTTACGCATCATATTTTCTTGTCCACAAATCACAAAACCTTCCGGCTTCTTCATTAATATTTCTTTTTCTAATTCACCATTTAGAGAAATATTTTTAAATGGAAGATAATTTACCCTAAGTAAATTGTTAAATTCATTTTTAATAATTCATATTTCAAATGTATTTTTAAGAGGTTGTCTTTAAGTACTTATTTGAAAAATGTTAATATCACATATATTTTATTTTATTTGCAGTCTGAGTGGGAGCCTGAGTTTGATCCTTTGTAATATTTTTGCGTAATTTGACAAATGATCATCTAACCTAAATGAATATTGAAGATTCCATCTAACACAATAATAATCAAACATCTTATATTCCATTGTCAAAGCATTCTCTGGGTGCACATCTTTGAAGATTCACTTTAGTATGTTGATACATGCTCAACATTATCATTTGTACTCAAGCAGTCATCAAATTCATCTAGTCAACTTTAAGTTTAAAGGTCATCAATTTTGATCCTCTAGAAAAAGATCAAGTAGCTATCCTTTTTGTGCTTATTCCTCTTAAAACCATTAGTAAAACTTATTGTTGAAAAGAATAAATTAGTTGTTTTTCCTTTCAACATTAAAATTTGATACAACTAAGTAATATTACACAAGGTACATTGATACACACTTTACATGATAAAAGGTACAAGTCATGTGGGGCAATATATACTGAGCCTAAGGACACATAATATCCTATTTAAATAGTACGAAGCAAATTGTTAAATTGATTTAAAGAAAATGAAAATGGAAGATAATTTACCCTGAGTAAATTGTTAAATTCATTTTAAACAATTCATATTTCAAACGTATTTTTAAGAGGCTGACTTTAAGTACCTATTTGAAAAATGTTATTATCACATATATTTTATTTTATTTGCATAGTTTCAGTGTGAATCTGAATTGTAATATTTTACAGGATTGTTATTCCTACATTATATTTTACATCAAATACATACACTAACAGTGTTTTTTTAAATAAAAAAATAAACAATACACATGAACAGTGTGTGAACAGTGTACGTGAACAATATCTATAAACAGTAATGAAATAAAGTTGGTTAATAAAATGTAAAAAATTGATTAATGAAATGATGAAATTGGTTAATAGACGCTCAGAGTTAAAAATATTTTTAATAGTAAACCAAAGTTGGTTAATGAAAAGTAAAAAATTGATTAATAAGGATATGAACTTGGTTAATCACGTAATTTTATATCAATATTATTTAATCTAAAAATTAAAAAAAAATTAAAAAGTTAACTTTTTATATATTTCACTATTCACCGTATTGCTGAACAGTGAAATACGGTGTAAGTGTAAGATTTAGTGTAAGAATAACATTTTTCAATATTTTATCATCTCTTCAAAAAAATAATTTTTTTTATCAAAATACGATTGTTTGTCATTATTAAAATGGGGAAAATTATTAAACCAATATTTTTTTGAAAAAAAATGTCATTTAATTTAGTTTTGATGATAATAAAATGCAAAAGAGTAATTTAATCATCTCACATTTGTTACACATATTGAGAAAAACCTTCATATAGATTCAAGGAAATATATCTTATAGAAAGAGTAAAGAAGTTCCACAAATAATAATCTAATCATAATGAATATTGAAGATTCCATCTAACACAGTGATAATCAAGCATCTTGTATTTCATTGTTAAAACATCTTCTGGGTGCACATCTTTGAAGATTCACTATACTTGTGAGTTTCCTTCATGCATCTTCAAAGATTCAAACATATCAAATGCAGTATCTCTGTTTGTTATTTTCTCATACTCAGTATGAGATATTGCATTTAACAGGATGGTTCTTGCTTTGTGGTGGTTTCTAAACTCCTTCTTCTGTTGATCAGACATAGATTTTCTGTCAATCTTTTTTCCTTCACCATTGGTAGGATGAATGTAACCATCAGTTACTAAATCCCACAAATCAACATCATAACCTAGAAAGAAGCTTTCTATTCTGTCTTTCCAGTAGTCAAACTTCTCACCATCAAACATGGAAGGTTTGGTGCTGATTCTGTCTTTATCATCGTATCTGTTGTTGTATGAAGTTGAAGTAGAAGCTTCAGCAGCCATGATGAATAAAGAACAAGATATTTGGAGTTTTTCTCAACTTGATCTTTTCTGTCACGGTGAAGTGAGAGCACTAACAGAACCGGAGCTCTGATGCCAACTGAAGGTGAGAAAAACACTTAGAAGGGGGGGGGGGGGGGGGTTGAATAGGGGTTTTGAAAATTATGGCAATAAAAACAACACAGTATTTTTATCCTGGTTCGTTGAACTCAACTAATCCAGTCCACCCTACCAAGGTGATTTGCCTTTCTCCACAAGGACTTAATCCACTATATTCAAACAGATTACAGTGTCAACCACTAAGAACAACTGTCTTAGTCTTCTCAAGAAATTCTGACCACAACTTGGTCTTCTTAAGGAACCTTTTACAAATAAATGTAAACTAACAAGTGTTTAAGATGCTTCTAAAAAGCTATATCACAATTGTGATTTTTACACTTAGATTAAGAACGAATAAAAACAATTCATCTTATGAAATATATTGTATGAGAGCTTGAGAGTTTTCAATTTGATTTCTCAATAATTCGTCAATTCGTCAACTTTGAAATGATGTTGAAGACATCCTTTTATAGAGCAGAAAGTCCAATGCTTGAAGACTGTGCGTAGCAGAGTAGTTGTAGCCTTTTTGTCTTCTATTGACTTTAGCTTTCCCAGAAGAGGAATGTTCAGACAAATCCCTTTTGTGTGATTTCCTGTGCCATACATGAATAAGGAAAGAGTCGTTTGGAATATGCCAACGGATATATCTTTGAATAAAATCTTCTTCAACAAGCTTCTGTCTCAAAGTTATCAACATCAGAGTCTTTATGTTATCAGAGTTTTGTAGCCAATTTGCTTCAGCGTGAATATCAATCAGAGTAATGTTTGAATAATAGAGCCTCTATACTTGCAGCGTAAAGTACTTTCAGAGTCTTCTTGAAACAATGCTTGAAACTCTTCATACAAATTCTTCAACTACGCTTCAAAGTCTTCTGCAGCTTCTGCTTCAGAGTCTCTTCTGGCAGCGCTCAGAGTCTTCTGATGACTTGCTTCTGATGCTTCAGAGCTTGCGTAGAATAATGTTCAGATGCATTTTTGCTTCCATAAGAATATTTATTTTAATATCTGAAACAAAAACACTTGAACAAAATTAGAGTATATATTTTCTTAATACAAAATTTCATTAGTGTTATCATCAAAACATAGAGATATATTAAACACTAATCTGTGTTCTAACAATCTCCCCCTTTTTGATGATGACAAAAACATAGGAAATTTTGTTCAATAAAAGGATAAATATATAACTCCCCCTGAGATAAAGAATCTCCCCCTAAAATGAATACTCTAATAGAAGAAAATACTTCCCTTTTTGCATGAGTATACTTTTCAGATTAAGAGCCTGGTTAGAATCCTGGTTAGAATATACTTTCCAGAATCAGATCTTGATTTACTTTCCAGAATCAGAGCCTGGTTTGAATTAAGGTCTGGTTTGGGGATTCTCAGGGTAACTTCAATGAATTTTGTCAGATGATACGTTATAGTTCTGAAAGACTAAAATTCAATGTTAGTTATAATTTATTATGTCTGAATTCCATTTTAGTAACTGTTTATTTTTGAACAATCAGAATTTCTTTTTCTCCCCCTTTTTGTCATAATCAAAAAGAAGCA